AAGTTTACTACTATTTCAAGAACGGAAAATTGGAAAATTGTGGTTTTCAAAATTGATACAATAGCAGCGGAGGTGGAAAACACTCAATTGCATAGCAATGTCTGCTCACCCAACAGCCGAAAATAATTTCTTTCCGTTGGATTTCCTCAATGATGGATCGCCTGTTTTCTTATCTAAGCCGACGATTTATCATACAGGTGTTTTCCTGACGTTTACCGAAATTGATTTTTGGTGGTCCCGAGATGAGTTGCTCTAGATATGTTTTGAATAAAGAATGAGATGCGTTGCTACGAAATTCCATCAACTATGTCGTTTGTGGCCTCGAAAGAAGACGTTACCAATACATTAAGACGTGGGTAATGTTTTTTTACCACTAACCGGAGAAATCGCCATAATTTACAGCAATGCGTTATTGAGAAGTAACATTTCTCTCCCTAGGTCAATAATGAAAACAAAAAATTCCTAGGTAAATCATAATATTATTTGAAATTCATTGACAACTGGTATTACGTATCTTAAAAAGTGACATTATGTCGATTTTTTTGACATTATATTGTTTTTTTTGTGACATTATGTAGGTTTTTCTGCCAGATGTTAACTTAGTACTAGCTGATGGACACGTTGTGAACTCGTTTTGTAGTTGTACGTGTTGCCTAAACGACATGAGGCTTCAGTTATCAATGTTTGGCTCTGATGTGAGGTAAAGGCAATGCATAGGTGCATACTGAGGATTTGTATGCTAATAATACGTGTTGATGATAATTCAATTGGATTCTTGTCTCAAATACAATTACTTGAGATTCAAAGCTAGAAATTAGTTACGCATCCACTTTTTCTTATCCATTCTGGAAATTACATTTGCAAATTTTCCGAGTTCCAAAAATAAGAGAAGATAGGTCAACATATAAATAACCTGTCGGGCACAGCTAATATATACGAGTATACTTCATTGGCAGCATATTCAGTAATGATTTTCTCACACTGCAAATATTACTGATTTTATACACATGCAGAGCCGAAAACTATAGACTACTCGGCTTCACAAAACATATGCAACCAACAAAGCGTGTAGTTGAGCTATTCCTCCATAGATGGACGCTCACAACGATCCTAGTGAGCAAACGTGAAATGGCTGTTTGCACCCTAAAAACTACCTAGTCTGCAAGATGACATTTTATAGGTCTTTTTTGACGTTTTATAGGTTTTTTACATAATGCACGTGCGGGTGCTTCAAATTCAACTCTCACCATTGGGATCGCAGGAATGGTAAGAGATACGAAGTTGGTTAACTGGGCGCACAGTTGCGTATCTAGTTTACTAAGAAAATGGCGCATAAAAATTACAACAATTTCAAGTATTTTCGGATATAGGCGAAAGAAACCAAATCGTTTACAGTGTTTTCTTGATTTCATTTGAAATATTAATTCAAAATAAAAGTACATTAACATTGCCACTTTTCTCCTATACAAAATAGTATAATTATAATTTCGATATGACGTTTCGTCTTTTGTCATCAACTTTATTTTTTCTTGTAGATATTATATTGCATTTTTGTACAGGTAAATTGAGTTTTCAATTCTGATTTCATAAATGTGTAACATGTCAAATCTAACTTATTTCAACAAAAATAATATTTTCATAGTTGGCTTTGAGAATGACATCCGGCATGTTTATCCCAAGCATGTTTAAAGGACATTCTAATAATTTGACTATTTATCGACTGTAACAAGCGATACTTTGGCACGATACAGACACTCTACATGACACTTCAGTCATAGATTAATAGTATTTGAATACAAGATGTGTGCATCGGTTCAGATATGGCGGATATTAAACGTGTTCCGTCGATGGTTTTATTCAAACTACAATATGTCTATCAGATACATAAAATAGCACTGTTGTCAATGATTCCATTACTACAAAAGTGGTACAGTTGAAACAAAGCAGACGATGCTTAGGAACGTTAAATTACACGAATATGAGCTCTCATTACTTTACTGTAGTGGTAGTTTGAAATATATTTGAGCTACCAGTTAGTACATAATTCTGTCAGACTTCTAATCCCGCAGGGCGAACATTCGGAGATATAAAAGCCAGTTTACTATGCTGTGCTGGTTTGCTACTGTTTGTTGTGTTTGAACTTTATGTACACCCTAGTGTTCATAAAAAAATTTGTTGTTGGTGTACCATCTGCGATTGACTTTAGAACATGGTAAATGAACGCAAATGCAACTCTTTGTAGCGTGCTTGTTGGAACTTGCGTTGCGGAGTCCGATTTGGACATACGAATCAGCATTGATTGACCGGGGCATTTTTCACTTTCAACCAGCTTTACAGTTGTGCATTGTTCCGGTAGATAGGAGGGTTATTCCGATCCGTCAGGCCGTTTCCTGTTTTATTTTTGTCGGATTTTGTTGGATCGGGCGTTCGTCCCAATTCGCCCGCGTTTGTTCTTGTCGCGGACAGGCATCCATCGTGTCGCCGCTGGTGCATGCAAAAGCGTGTTTTTTATACCGAAGCAGCCGCGTTGGCTGGAGTCTAAATACCGGGGCATGCAGGTGCTATAAGGAGCTTTGTTTATACGATTTTGGAACTGCCTAAGGAGGATTTTACGTTAGCGTTTGAAGTGTATTAAGACAACTTTGTCCAAGATTTCTCAGATATTGGCCCAAAAGTGATATAAACTAACGAAACAATAAAACATTTGAGTTAAATAAAAGTTTGGGATTAGATAAATATTTCAGAATCACGGAAGACAAGTTGATATCTGTCAGCGAAACGGTGGGTTTTTCGGCCCTGAAAATGACTCAAATTCCTATCGCATGTATAAAATTTTTACATTTGAGTATTTTAGAACATATATATTTTAAACTTACACCAATATTTTCCTTTTTATTGTTTTTTATAAACCAAAACTTTGCAGTTTTGTTCAAAATTCACCCATTTTCGAATATTTAATGTACTATCTCTAGTGAGCACATAATACGTAGTCGTGCCATAAGTTCTGTCCCATGATAATCTCATGATAAAAATGAAACAAGATAAGATATATTTATATGAAAGATATTATTTATTCGACAACATTTTTAGAATTCATAATCAAACAGTTTTATTCAAAATGTCCCCCCTTGGCCTTCACACACTGCTTCAATCTCGCGGGCCACTCATCTATCACTGCACGCACAGCTTCCAAAGGAATAGCTGCCGCTGATCGGATCAAATCCGCTTTCAGGGACTCGATATTACGGTGGGCTTTGGAGCAGGCCAACTGCTCTAGCAGGTCCCACAACTTGTAGTCTAAAGGATTGAGGTCCGGACTCCCTGAGGGCCAATCTTCCGCAGCAATGAACTCTGGCACATTGCTTTCCAGCCAGCGCTGCGTACTCTTAGCCTTGTGAGCGGGGGCGGAATCCTGCTGGTAGATCCAGTGTTGGTTGGCAAACAATGTACCACTTAAAGGCTTGACGATAGGATCCAGTATGTCGCTCTGATAGTTTGCCGCTTTTGTTTTCACGCCCTGTTTACAGAAATGGAGCTGAGTGACCCCTTCGTAGGACACCCCCCACCAAACCATGACTGACGCAGGGTGGTGGCCTCTCTCAACTCTCGGAATGATCTCCGAAGCTTCCTGTGAACTCCTTGCATACACTTTGTCATTTTGTCGGTTGAATTTTTCTTCTATGGTGAAGATTTTCTCATCCGTGAACAAAATCTTTCGGAATCCCCCAGCTGCGTACCTCTCCAGGAGCTTCTTGGATCTTATCGCCCTGATGTGTCGCAAGGTGGCCGTAAGTCGCTGGCCCGTACGTCTCCGGTAAGCCCCTAGCCCTAGGTCTTGTTTAATGATGCGCGACATCGTCCGGACAGGAATCTTCATTTCCCTGGATAGGATCTTCTGCTTCCGGAGTGGATTCCTTTGAATCCTGGCTTTTACGGCTTTGATGGCTGCTGGAGTCCTTACTTGACGAGGTCTTCCGCTTCTTGGCCTGTCATCAACAGAGAACGTCTCATTGTACCGCTGAATGGTCCTAGACACAAATTTACGCGATATTTGAAGGCCGCGTAAGAGTTCAAAAATCTGACTAGCACTGTGATTACACTTATGTAAAGCTATCACTGCAATACGGTTCTCTGCCTTGCCCCACTCCATCGTTATGCTTCGAGAGATCAATACAAACTGAGGTATATGTAATTACCCGAAAAGCGCTTAATCAACTGACACCACAATGTAAACAATCGGACAAGTATTAACAGGTCTACACTTGTTTGAAAACGAGGGACAGAACTTATGGCATGACTATGTATATAAAAACAAAAATGTTGCTTCGCTGCAGTCACATTAAAAACAAAATTTTAGACAAATATACAATTACAATGAGACGTCAACTTTTGGTTTTGATCTGAGCAACACTTTTTTTTATATATGTGTTGTATCCTAGTATACCTTATTATAGATTTGAAATAGGAAGTATTGCGGCCCTGCACTCATATAAAAATACTTAAGATGGGTATTCGAAAATAGGCGAATTTGGGATCAAAATGCCACAATTGCGAGTTTTGGCCTTTTTAAAATAATCAAGTATTAAAATAGAAGAAAAACGTTTTTGAGAGTTCAAAATACATAAGCAAAAGCAAAAATTTCGTAGATGCGATAAACTTGAAATTTGAGTTTTTTTCAGTACCGAAAACCCGGCTTATAAGATCCTGATCCTTTCATAAATGTTAGACAATATTCAGACTGGACATACTCGCCCTGATGGCAAGATAAAAACGGTATGAACGGATATCATAAAATTATGGTTTTAGTAAATTCTCCGCTTTAAAGTTTACCAGTCATTTTTGAACCTAACTTCTATCCAAAAGGAAAGCTCTTCTTACCTTACTCATAATCAACGATCCAGTTTTACATTACCCTACCTATATACTGCCTGTCGCTAATTGGCTTGTGATGCTCTTATAGGTTAACGGGTTATTTTTTCAATAACTTTAACCTGCAACAGTTAACGAAATAAATTTAACCGTTATGCGGTTAACAGTGGCGGAGTTAGGAATTTGTCTGGAAGGAGACGCAATGTTGGTCGCTGGAGTTCATGTTAAGGAAGATGTTTGTCTCTGGCAGCGGGGAGGGGGTATGTATCGCCGATTAGAAATTGAAGAGCGGGGATGGGGCTAGCAGTGATGCTAATTTTTGAAAATGAAAAACGGAAATAACCTTTGTTATGTGTGTTGAAATGTTTGCTTCGAAAACTGGTTATTTTTGCCCATACCCAATCTGCCTGCTTCTATGTGACATAAAATAACAAATAGTAGTATAGCGTACATCAATATAAAAATCCGTCTTTAAATCCTAAAACCATTTTTAACTGGGTAATTGCACTACACAAGCAGCCCAATCCATATAAATATCTTATATTTTTAGAACAAAAACACATGCTTCCCATCTGGCAATAATATTTCGCTAGAAATCGTCTAAAAAGGCTACAGTGTATTTATCCTTCTAACCGTGCCACATATCACACTCCCAACTACTCGTATCAGATTCTCATAACTCCATACAGCCAGCGCTTCACTTCACGGGCTCAATAATGCCGGGAAAATTCCACGAATGTGTCGCTGATTAGCCCGTTGCGCAAAATTGAACGAGAATTGTTACAGGAAACACTGATTTGAGAGAGCGATTTGAGGCCGTCACGTATGAAGAGATTGAAGAGCTTTTTAGTGTTCCTGAAAACTGTAGAATTAGCACAAAGCAATTGATATTGGTAGTCAAGACTGAGCACTATCACAGAATTCCTATTTGTATCATCCTTCCCAAAAAATGATATCCATGGAATCACTCGTACCAAAAATTTCTTTTCACAGCTTCTTCTTACGCTTCTAGCGAGTAAGTATTTTAATCCTAAAAAAAAAACTAAAATAAGATATATTTTTTTGATGTTATATGATATTATTTATGTACTTCACGAAAAAACATGTCACCTAAACTGACAATCGGATTTGGATGAAATTTTCACACAAGGCTTACTACAACGAAAAATCCTTGTAGGTTTTGAAAATCGGTCCAGGGGCGGGCAAGCTACGTGGCAAAAAGTGATAGAAATATAAATCGCTCAAACTTCGTTTTTGAGGCTACTGATAATTTTCAGAGATATTTTTGTAGGGGTTGAAAATTGCAGCTTGAAGAGGGTGGGGGAGGGTATATCTCAATTTTCCGATGCTCCCAACATCAGTGACTCTACGCAACTATTAGACATATTTCCAACACCAAAGATTTCCCCTTACATTTGCCATTAAATTTTAAATGATAGAGGCATGTTTTTGTTAAGGGTCTCTGCTTCTGCTCTCTGGACCCTCCGGCGGGCATCCCGGTCTCGATAAGTTTCCTGCCATTGCTTCGGGAACTTAACGAATCATGCGGTCAGGTATGGGAGATTTATGGTACTACCGGTAGGACAGGGAAACAATGTCTATGGACTAATTATATGGGCAGGTCAGGTCTATTTAACACCATTATTGAACAAAAAGCGGGTGTAACATAAGGACCAGTCGAACGAGGTGGTATCATCTGCAAGCTTTTTTCAGGGTCTTAAAAATGTCAGCATGTGTCCACGCCTGAGCTACGTAGTCGGTTTTCATCTTTTCCTGATTTCCCTTCACAACAAACACGTGATGATAGATTCTTCGTGTACTAGGAATACCGGACGTAAACTCATTCCATTCACGTGCTGGTGGAAGGTGGACTTGAGGGAATAAGATCGATGATAAAATATCTACAAACATCTGCGGCATTAACAGCAACATTGACGCTGTTCTCCGCTATTTACAGTCAGATCGTCCCGCCATGTTTTTCTTAGCGGAGACTAAAATCTCCGATTCTGCTCAAAACTACGAGGCGCACTCCATTTTGAGGAAGAGAGATTTGGAGAGTTGTGGCTTTTGTCCGCAGCAGTATTTCCAGGTTAGAATCTTTGAAGTCGGGCCGAAAGGACATTATGTGGCATCGGCTCAACGCCAAATGATCCTCCAAATTTTTTTGCTGCCTCTATCGTTCTACCTCAGACTATAATTGGCACGACCTACTTGAATATGTCGTTGTCAAGATCGACTTTTTGAGCGTCAATCACCCTGCTTCAGAGATACTTCGTCTCTGTGATTTCAATGCCCGTAATGAACTCTGGTTGGGTACGTCTAACTGTATACAAAATATCATTCAAATAAAGTCACTTGTACTTGGTGTGCGATTTTTGCAAATGAGAATATTCACCCAGTGCGTGACACAAATTTTATAAGCATCTGTGCAGCATAGTGATGGCTAGAGGAATTCGAGGTTGCTCATATTGATTTTTAAAGGAAACTATAATTTTAAACAATTTTCTCAAGCATCTTAAATGGAAAAACAGTTCCACAAATGCAGTATCAATATCATTTCGCGTTACGTCACGAAGTAATTCCATGAGCGATGGGATACAGGATCTATTTACAGACAAGAATTACTTACTTGAATTATTTTATGGTTTTCTATTCATTTTGTCCGAAAAAGGAAAGTTTAATTTTGGGACATTTCAGTTCGAAAATAACTACGAATGTGATGTAAAGCAGCGGCAAAAACGTAAAAAACAAAAACAATTGGAAAAAAGTATTACTGTGCTATTCGTTTGCTCAGAAATTTCAAGTACCACCCTGTTGCTTGTTTTGTTCGTAAACACTGTAGACTAGACAATTAGAATGAGTCCATTGTTTTTGACAGTTGCAATTGTCACTGATTTGATGAAAAAAAGGAACCTTTTTGGTAACACATTCGTACCTTGTGACGTATGATGCAGAGTCGGACTTGGCCCACTCCGAGTTTTACTGAACTAAACATCTCGGTTATTTTAAGACTTTGATGTACGTTTTACTCGGAAAACTTGCTTATTGTCGCGCGACCTATACGTTCCGTAAAGTTTCAACCTTTAGGGATTTGAATCTGCACGTTGTTGTTATATTTTATTACATATGGTGCCTAGAAAATAATTCCAAAAGTCACTCAAAATTGACCGGAGCTTATATAGACCAATCAGGCCTATCTTTAGGCATAATGGATGCACTGTACAAAAACCTTGTAAAGTTCATGAGAATATCTCCAACTGTAATAGTAATTCTTCAGGAAGAACATGTTTTGGCAAACATTTTTATGACTCTTGTTTGTTAGAATTAACGTATCATAAATTGTTATTAACCGTTAACTGCTTTTAGATTTTTAATTGATTTCATTTATTTGTTAGTTTAGTTCATGTAGTGTTTTTGTTGCAGGCAGTGTATGTGGCGGGCAATGTTGTGACGACAAAACTGAGTCATTGTTGCGGAAGCAAGGTCAAAAGGATTTTGCAGCGTTACTGAGGCACAATTCAAAGTCAATGCAAGCACAATTGACATCAACGGCAGTCAAATTACAAAGTAAGTACATTTTCTTGTAAAACACGGTTATATTCGGGGGCGTATATAAGGGGTGGACCAAGCCCCTTATTTACTTACTTTCTTCCGTCATACTAGACATACAGTCATAGTCTATTGCTGAGTGCTGTGTCAATCTCTTTCATAACCCGTCCCTCGCGAATTTCTTTTAGTTCCTACGCTAGTGGCGAGGAAGTAATGTAATCGCGAAAAATGTCAAAAATGGGATATTATGTTAAAAAGTTACTACTATGCCAAGGACAAAAAAACTTTGTAGTTTTTAAAAATTAGTTCAGTAGCGGCGTAGCTACAGGGCAAAAAACGAGAAAACAAAAATCGCAAAGACTTCCTTTTTGAGGGAATAATGATCATTTCCAGACAAATTATTGCAGGGGTCAATTTTTCGATGTTAGTATATTTATACGCTTCCAACCCCGGTAATTATACGCATCTATTAGACAGATTTCACAGATAATAGATTTCACGGTACATTTGCCCTAAAACTTAAAATGATAGAGAAATGTTTTCGACACACGTCACTACTTCTGCTTTCTGGGCTCACCGGTGGACGTCCCGGTCTCGGTAAGCGCCCTACATTACTACCGCGCTGCCGAGTATGACGCGTCGTGTGATCTGGTATGGGAAAGGGGCGACGTTGTCAGATGGACGGTACAACCTGTAGGGCGGGGAATGTATGTCTATGGACTAACTACGTGGGCCTGTTTGAAAGACTTGATCCGTTTGACTTGTCCGTTACACATGCTAGAAACTTTTTTTAGATGGTCTAACTTATGCTGAACATAATCTTTTATGCACTGATGATGGCGTTGCTTGGGAAATGCTGAGTCAACCAACTCAACGCAATTTTTTTCATTCTAATTGGTGTTTCGCTGTCTGAATGTCCGTTCTGTATTTATTTTCCCTATGGCACATCGCTTGACTAATCCCGAGCGGGGACAAAGAAAGCCAAAAGCAGATCCAGAGAAAATCTGTGCGGAAACTTGCAAAAACATTTCTACCCGCCGTTATGTCTCCAAGTTTGTTTTGGCATGAGATCACGTTCGCGGGAGTGTCGTTCGTCGACCTCAGGCCTCGGGCGTTTTCGGCTATTCTAAAGGCTTTATCAGATGTCAACCTGTCTACGGCATTTCTCCTGCCAGACGATAAGTTTTTTTGGTCATTTCTTAACTTGGAAGGTGGCGTGGTAGAGCAAGCGTCAGGAACTCAAATATGTTTGGTGAAAATCGATGTGGAAATTCACATTTACGGAATAGTCTAATAGGTTATGTAAGGATTGAATAGACAGGGACGGTTTTAGAAAATATTTTTGTGATGAATTTGAAATTATCTGCTAAAAAAAGTGCTGGGGGTCGGGGTCAGAGCATGGGGGGCATAATGGACACTCAGGAGCACGCGCTCCTGGATATCGAAAAATACGAGGGTAGGGTGAAAAGTTCTCGGACTTGCAATGGAAAACGACTGCGATTTTCAGTTTAATTGTTTAACCTAATCCTCTTGACTCCAACATACTTGATCCAATGTTCAGCATTAGGACTCCTTCCAGGGGCTGGAAGTCTGGAAGGCTGACAAAATAGTCGTCTACGTTCCCCCCAAAGCGCTTTATAGAAAGAAATTCCTTCAAATCTGGGAACAGATGGAAGTTTGAGGGTGCAAAATCAAGACAGGGGGTAAGATTGAGCAAATCATGCTCAAAATTCTAGAGTGTCCTTATTGTGACATACCTTTGTGAGCCTCCAGTCACGAATTGGCATCTAGCTGATCGAGGAGGTTGGAATAGTGTTAGCTCGTAATTGCTCTACCCTTTTTAAGGTAATCAATTAACAAAATCCCTTTCGTATCCCAAAACACACTGGCTATGAGGTTTCATTATAGTAAAAATATCAGCTTTTGCATAATGCGGCAACCACTTGCGCAGAGCTTCTGCATCTCCACTTCTCGCCCAACTCAAAATCGAGAACTTTTTTTCAGACTGTTAGGTGTTTAAATTGAGCTACGGGGGAGCAGAATCCACGTAAAATTTGTAAAGTTTGAAAGAATTTTCTTAGGCCAACTTTGGTAACGGCACGACATTCAAGGTTATCGATCGTAACTAAAACCAGTCAAAACTCGTGTAGACAATTTACTTTATCTCTAAAGTAATTTGCAGCGTGTTCTCACACGCTGCAAGTTTCATATGAACAGATGATATGTCTACGCATGCAGCAGTTACAAATTACCGCTAATCGAAGCGCCATATTATGGCTGTGTTAGGCCAAGAACTTTTCATCTTTCCCCCGTATTTCAAATCCAAGATGTTTAATGGCACCTAGAACATGGGGACAGTTTCTTATATTAGATTGTCAAGCGTTTTGTCACCATAGAAAAAATGTCGTCAAGTAAGTTGAAATATTTTTCCTGTCCTACCTATAGTACAGTCTATCTGATACCGTTACCCCTCCACCATTGTTTATCGCTCGATGAATGCTCTCGTCAGTCGCGGCTGCGTGGCAGTGACGTAACGAGACTCATGATGGAGACTGTAACGACGGTCAACCCAGAAAGAGCTGCCTATGGAAGATATTTTCTCCATCATTCTAAGTCTTAAGGATCAATGTACGGGAAGGTATATGATGTGTCCAAAAACACAATGCCTTCTTTTCGAAATGTTTCGCGCTTACAGTACTTCCTCAGCAGTGACGTAGGAAATAATAGCGACCAGTGTTTGGCTAATTTATTCAGCAGAGTGAGAATGTGAATGTGAAAACTGCCCGTGGGTGTGAGAGAGGGTTAAAACCACTATTGACATAACTTGTATTAGTTTAGGATAAAAATTGAATTTCGAAAGTACAATTTAGTTTATGAATTAAACTACTTCGTGTATTGTATTTCGTAGGCGCCCTAAATGGTAATTTGATAGGATAGGACGTACAGGTTTCACGATTACTCTCTGTTATTTGAAAGTATAAATTATTGTTTTCGCTGGCCTTCTTGTAGTAACAGTTCCGCAAGATGGCGGCAAACGACTGATTAAACAAGCTTTGTGAATTTTCAAAATTGGCTTTTTAAAGGCTTTTATTTGAACAAATCTGCTCCTCCAATTATCTATCCTTCATAACTTACAGCGATATCCTCTTGGTTCTGTTCCACACTACCTGCAATTCTGTGTAGGTTCCAAAACTTTTGTTAACTGTTTTACTATAACTTTGTGTAGAATATAAGATAAAAATTAGAATTTTAGAATCATAATTCAGTTTCGTCAATCATATCACGGTTTCTGATAAGACACGTCAGTTATTTGTGCGACAAAACTTTTCGTAACTATTAGCCAAGACAGGCACTGTATTTATAGATATTCCCACGCTTTGACCCTCGTCTCAGCCCAAGCTAAACAAAATATCGATCTAGGAACCAACCCTGTCGTGTCTGACAATGACGTCAACGTCGGTACATTAATCCAACATTTCCCGACCTTGTCCTTGACAACTACAACGATAAAATCAAGATCGGGATTAGAAATTCAATGAGGTCTGAACAGATCTCCACAAAGCTTTGGCCGATTGCCATTTTGTACAGTCTTCCCCCGTTTGTTGTGAGTTGACTTTTCGAGGGCGTTGAATTTAATGGATTTTTGCTTCAGCTAGAGGTAGTAAAGCGACTGGCAAGCTAATTCTACGTTGTGTAGGAGACATAAACGTTTTTATGGATATTTCGCCAAGTCAATATGATGTTTGAGGTATTGTCAGATATCCTAACTACCTTCATTTCTCGGTCGAAATATATATATATATACAGGGTGACTTCGAAGTTGAGTCATTTATTTTAGCAGTGAGTAGATCTGATCAAAAGAAATGTTTTCTCCTTTACCATTTTTCTGGTAAAATTAAAGTAACAAAGTTATAGCCCTTTGGAAGTTTGAGTACCGCCCTGTCTCAATAATAATATTATGTGCTCGTGTTTTGCAACAACGGATATAATCCGCCTTATCGGTTCATCGCATCGGAAACAAAAAAGCGAAAGAATTTGGAACGATGTTTTTACAATTATTTTATTCAGTTGTATACAGTCAGTGTCAGTGGGTAACGCGTGAGTGAATAGTGGTGTCTGTTGCGTGGCTCAAACGAAATCAAAAATTGCACATGTTTACGAAAATGCTGAACTTGTGGACATGATTCTTATTTACGCGGCATCACGGATTTATGCGGATCGGTTTCCCAATCGAGTGCAACCAACCCCTCGTGCTTTTGTTAATGTAGTACAAAGGGCTCGTGAATCAGGTGACTTAAGACCTCACAGGGGAGGGCATGCCGGTGCTCCAAGACCGCACGATCAAATACAGGTCCGCACTGAAATACTTGTCGGGAGGATACTTTATAAAACAAGGTAACATTTTTTTTTTAATTTTTTTTTTATTTTTACACACATATTTTGGTTTATCTTCCTTCTACAATCATTATCTGAAAATTAATGACTCAACTTCAAAGTATATAGAATAATCTTTTTGCCTGAAACTCATCACTTTATCACAAAAAATGGCGTCAAGTAGGTTGACTATGCACTTCCCACGCAACGCTGTAATCAGTTCATAGAGGATTATTCAGTATAAGTTAGCCACTCTGATAGGTAGGGGTTGGCTACGAACTGATAAATTAAATGGATCAGATCGATCAAACAAGCCTAATTTGCCCGTAGTCCCTACCCATTTGAGGACATTACGATTTAGAAATTCCTCCCGTGGCTTTACCGGCACAACCGACCATCTGGCAACGTTGTTATTACTAACCTCGCTACTCGTCAGTCACGGCAGCAACCCGTCATTCAGACCGCGATGCAGGTATATCCAGATACGACGATGTCGCAGATATTTCTCTATGGTGTCCGAAATATGTCCAATACGTACGTAGACACTGGACCGACTTTTCCCTGAGGACCTAACAGTCTTGTACATTTTAATGCTTCACAGAACTTTACCTTGGCTCACAAGAAGCGCCTTAACGCTCATCTGG